TTAATGTGATAAAGAGAACCAATGACGCGAGAAATCTTTGTTTCAATAGATTTTATGTGCTCTTTAAATTTCAAGTTTTTATCAATAATAATTCCAAGAAAGTCAATTTTATCCCGGAAATTTATGTTCTCATTGCGTATTTTGAGATTCAGATTTGTTTGATTTTTTTGGGGTCCAAATAGAATAGCATTAGGTTTTGCCAATATTAAGTGAAAGTTTGTTTGCTTTTATCCAGTCATCTATTGAATTCAAGTTTGCATTAGTTCTAGTCATAAGTTCATTTAAATCATAATCACTATCAAGAAGATTGGTGTCATCAGCAAACATAATAAATTTTAGATTAGGGTCAACAAAAGGCAGATCATTTATGTAAAGAATAAATAATAGTGGTCCAAGTACCGAGCCCTGCGGAACACCACAATTTAGAGATGATTGTTTAGATTCATAATTGTTAATGGTGACATATTGTTTGCAGTCTTTTAAATAACTTTCAAACCAGGACTTAGCTATTCCTCTGATGCCATAATATTCAAGTTTTTGTATCAAAATGTCATGATTAATAGTGTCAAAGGCCTTTGAAAAATCTAATGTTATGCCAATGCTCGTTTTCCCCAAATCAGTTGATTTTCGAATTTGTTCAATGAAATATAAAATGGCCATGTAGGTAGAGTTGAATTTCTGAAATCCAAATTGATAAGTAAAAATAATTTCAAAACGTTCTAAAAAACCAGTGAGTTTGGCGTGCATGAGCTTTTCTAACAATTTAGAAAATACCGATAAAACTGAAATTGGTCTATAGTTCGAAGGATTTGTAGTGACTCCTTTTTTAAATACAGGTGTTACTTTGGCCAATTTGAGGGCGTCTGGGAAAATACCAGATTTAAAAGATAAGTTAAATATATACAAGAGCGGATCAATTAAAAACTGTCTTACAGACTTAATAAGTGATGGTAGAATCCCATCAGGTCCAGGCGAGGAAGATTTTAGAAGACATATTTCTAATTCAAGCTCAGTTTTTGAGGTCTTTTTGAGATAAATAGATGATTGAACTTTTTGAGCTCTTGCTAGGTATTCATAAACAATCGTTTTGCTGAATTAATAAAAAAAATTGAAAAAATCAAAACCATCGAATATCACTTTTGAAACCATCGAATATCAATTTGAAACCATCGAATATCACCTTTCAAAAAGTGATATTCGATGGTTTCAAAAGTGATATTCGATGATTTGGGAATTTTTTGCTAAAATATGATATCTTCATCCACGTATCAATTATATCTTCACGTGATATTCGATCTATATCCTTGTAACCATGGGATAAATACGGGTTATGTACTGGGAGGTTTTGGATGCGGGGTTTTTCCAGAGGGAGATATGCATATCGAAACTCAATTCTCCGAAACCCAGTTGTCTGAAACCAAGTTCTCCGAAAATTAGGGGATCTTATCAAAAAATACAATTTCTTAAAACGAATCTTGTCGCAACCTATGCGAATCACGACAGCATAACATTTGAATCACGTTGACATCATTGCAAAATTAGGCTAAATATGCTGAGTCAAGACGTTAATTAGCCCAAGAAAGTTCATGGGTAACTTGAGAACTACAAAATACAACCAAATACTTTTCGAACGTACAATAGCAATATTTCTCACCCAACGTCTTCATAGTTTTAGGAACGTATTTTAAACGCATGATAGCCAAATATATCAAGATACTATATCTGCCTAAATGAAGTTATCTAGTGTTGACAAAGTTTTGAAATATATTTTATCCAGATCCATCAGAAATTAACTTATCCAATACATTTGTTCATAAGAATTCTTTAATTCTACCTCGTTCCCAATACGTCCTCAGACAGACAAGAAATTGAAGTCACACCCGTTTGTTTGCGTGGCATATTTATACGTATACGCACTTTCTCTGATTATTGTCAAACAAATACATTTCAGGAGAAGAACATAAAAAACAAATGCCTGAAACGAATGCCGAAACATAAATCCCAAGTGATTAAGTTTAGAATGTTTTATTCTTTTACGATTTGATAAGAGACTGAGACTAAGAAATTAAATGCGACGAAATATTTTGACAACGTAATTTGTATACTGTTTTATTCTTAAAGTTCTATACCTTATTTTATCTGTTTCAAAATGTTTCATTTTATTTTGCCTATATAAAAGAGATTGAAGAAGATAAGATAAACTGTTCCGTAATATATATTGTGTTTTAATAACCTTTTTTAGAATCACAATGTAAAATAAATCTCCCGTTCCTGCCATTCTGGTAACGCCATGCAATGGATGCAATTCAAAGTGAGAGAGAGATCTATGAATATCAGAATGCGTCCATGCCATTAATTTGGCCAAATACATGGCATGAAACTGACGTAAGCTTAAGTAAGCTACGCCCGCCCCCCCCCTTTCTCTGGTAAATTATGACTTTATTTTTCGGAGTAATGGGTTTCGGACAACTGGGTTTCGGGGAATTGGGTTTCGGACAACTGGGTTTCGGACAACTGGGGTGTCAATATATACGAATCGAATGTATTCTCGTGTGCATTACAATATCCCCATTGAAACATTTTTGGCCTGCAATGGACGTAAAATGAATTAGAATATGAGGCCGTGTTATCATTCTAATGTAAAATCATGGTATTTACTGTAGTATTGGGTTGCAAGTTAATATCAGATTCAATGCAAATTAATCATCTAATATCAGATGCGCGATCAGTCCAATAATCTAATTTCAGGTCATCAGTTCGATATCTAGCACTTGTTCTAACGACACGGTATTACTAGACTATCATATTATAAATACACACACATATAAAACAATCAAACTGGTACACGATATATGCACGACTGCTCTTTCAATTGAGTATAAATGTTGATAAACTTACCCGGAAGCCAAGACATACACGTTTAGACGATGCTATTTTCAGTTCAGTGTAAGAGTAAATGCCCGGATATCGAGGCTTTTTCGTGTAAAGTTTTAACCAAGCATCTAAAATCGGGTTATATTGCGTGTAGAATTTATCGATATCAGGGCCGCTACATGCCAGTGATATTGTATTGACTGACATTGCATTTGTAAATCCAATCAATGATCAAAATTACTGAACAATTTCTGACCAATGATAGTCGAGTATTTCAACAGAAAAACATAACAATAAATCTCACCACAAATCTAAAGTGCATGTACTTGTGTTGTCGATTGACGATGCTGCTGTGACTACCTGGGATATCAAAAGTAATTTTATTTGTTTGTTTTAGTGTTTGTTTATTACATGACATGTTAACAGGGTCAAGATCAGTGTTGTGAATCGATTATAAAGGGAAATTAGGTAGATCATTCAGAACTGGATAAGTCATTTAAATAACAGGCATGCCAGACGTCGATATTGTTCAATGGTTCGTTTGTACAGACGTCGATCATGATTTAATGAACTGTGAAGGAAACTGTATTAAAAATTTGTAAAAAACATATCTGGTTTCGGAAAAACAATATTTGTACCCATTATTCATTCTCGGTGAGTTAGCAAATCAGATGCTAGTACAGTCGTTGAATTTTGAAAGTATGTAAGTAATCGCATTGGTCTTATAAGAGCTGCGTTGTAGGTTCTATACGGATAGGATCCATCACAGCATTTAATTGTTCGTGAAATAAGAGTGTTGCCATGTGTGCATACAGAGACGAACCGCTTCCTAGTGCAGCCTGTTTTCTGAAAAACAAATATCTGAATAAATCTGCACCGTAAAAGATAACATCTATAACGAACATAAAACAAATATAGAGTTTCCTGCTATCTATAAAGTCCAACTCAATACCAACTGGGGCAATCTGTCATACATGTCAAATTTTACAAAACAATGGAATTTTAATTTGTTTTTAATATTCATAACTGTTTACTTAATTACTTCTCTTTCGAATCGTTCAATCTGATTTTTTTTAAAACAATAGACAGACAGTCTAGAATTCGTATTTACACACTGCTAAATATTTGTAAACATTTCAACGTCAGAATTAAATCAGCATCCGCATACATCTAAAGCGACTCATATTTAAAGTGAAAATCACATTAGGTAGAACAGATTCTGAATAGACATACGATTATACGATCAAATTTAATTTGACATAGGGATTAATTATACCAAACGTCCAGATTACGACGTAGATCAAGCTGATATTGACTTACCACATGACGTAAATTGATGGCGTTCGATTTGGAGGAACTCGTTTAATCCAAGAAGACTTTATCAACCGTACTATCAGAGAGGCCACCCTGTTGATGAAATGTGTCAGTTTTTGACTTAACAAAACAGCGTTTGTTTAAAAACTTACCAAAATGGGTCTATTTCAAGGAAATAAACCCCATGGTTCTTACAACCTACACCACTCATGACATCAAGCAAAACAGTGCAGCTGCGGAACTTAACAGACCCACCATTTCGCGTTCAGGAAATAACAAATATTTACGCTATGGTTGTTATCTAAGCCATCATAGTAATTTCTAAATTGACTATTATGTAGGTAAGAAGGGCAAGAATGCTGAAAAGTAGCAACTTTCCTAGCTGGCGTCTCTGAAATTTATAGTTAATAAGTCTAGAAAGCATTTCTGAAAAGTTTCTAAAATTGTGAACAATTTGCGATGGATTAGTATAAGCTGGGATTATTTGTTGCTTTGAAGGCAATCAGCGCTCCGGGGCTCTGCTTTAGAGGCTTTCTTACCGTATTTCATAGATAAGGGTGGAATCAGGGGCGACAGGGCTTAACCCCCATCGATGGCTCCTGCGGTAGGCTGAGAAATTAGCTGACAAGTGGCGGTTATTACCATTTGTCAATGTAGAGTGTTGAGGGAAATCAATTGCTAGATTTTTTTATATCAGAAGAAGATGTTATTTTCTATCTTATTAGTGGCCCGTTAGTAATGATCTTCTGTGAATAATCGGGAGGTAGCATATCACCGAAAAATGCCGAACTGTTACGCAAAATGGGACTTATCGATGTAATAAGCTAGTAATAACAGAAAAGAAGATCGACTAATAATGCAGTGGGAATGCCGCCACGGTGTGAAGCAACGTAAGCTACAGTAGTTAATGGCATTACACACGACAATTGAAATATCTATCGAAAGAATGGGATTATATTAACCGGAAAAATATCATTTGTCATAAGCACCGCTTTGAGATAAATCGGACCCTAAAGTAAACCCAGATTAACGGAGCATATTGATTTTTATATGACATCAATCAAATATAAATAATTTGCAGTTAATGCTTGGATGACGAGGGTTTAGGGCAGAAGACACACAGAAGAAAGGGAAGATGGAGTCGATGGAACAAAACATGCGGGAGAATATTTCTTTCAAACCTAATGAAAATGACACTATTCCTCCATGGGTATATTCACGAGATGAAGATTTGGCGAAAATAGAAATCGCTGTGTTAGCTTGTATTTTGACAATGGCAATTTTTGGGAACGGAGTGGTGCTTTTGGTGTTGCTATGCAGGAAACGGAAGTTGAGCCGCATGAACCTTCTAATTGTCAATCTTAGTTTTGCGGACTTATTTGTAGCCTTATTTAATGTGCTACCACAGCTAGCATGGGAAATAACGTATAGGTTTAAAGGAGGCGATGAATTGTGTAGGACAGTGAAATATCTTCAGATTGTGGCGATATATTCATCCTCTTATATCTTAGTGATGACAGCACTGGACCGTTACATGGCAATATGTCATCCATTGATGACACAAACTTGGTCCAGCAAGCGTGTCCATGTGATGGTGACAATAGCATGGGGACTTTCAATTATCTTTAGCATACCGCAAGCTTTTATATTCAGTTCTCGAGAAGTGTATATTGGCAGTGGTATGTATGACTGTTGGGCAACCTTTCCCAGTATAATTTCCGCGAAACTGTACGTCATCTGGTTTACTCTAGCAGTATGGGTTGTCCCATTTACAATTCTCTCAATTTGCTATGGCCGCATATGTTACGTTGTGTGGACTAGTGTAAACGGCAAAACTAATTCACTGAGTGAATCGAAAAATACAGCTAAAAGAAAATCTCCAAAATGTAATGGAGAGACTGGGAAGGTGACTCCAAGGGCACACGTGAGAGGTATATCGCACGCTAAGATGAAAACGGTGAAGTTGACACTGGTCGTAATCCTTTGCTATCTGATATGTTGGTCCCCTTTCTTCATTGCCCAAATCTGGGGAGCCTTGGACCCCCATGCACCAATCACAGGTAAAGTAGCGTTCGGTACCAGGTAATTTGTACAAACAACTTTTATCGTTTAAAAGTAGTAAAAGAGTTAAAAGTTGGAAATGTAGTTTTGAAAATCAAGATTCCGTCGTTGTATAAATTCAGAGCTGTTTTGAAAATTGCAGATCAGTCTGTTTAGTCATGTTCTAAAGATATTGTATATTTGTCGACCTCATATTAATTCAAAGTTGTTAAAAATTAAAATTGACTTTCTATATCAAGTTTATTGTATTCAAGACACATATTTGTTTATTATATTTTTACATGTATTGTTCAATGACTCATAAACAAGTGAAAAAGTTTATCTATGATGGATAAAATATATTCATAGAATCGGGTAATTCGAGCTACATATTCAATACAAGTTTACGGATACAAATATGAAGATATCGTATATTTTAGGGGTTAATGATTCTGTCCGTTTTATATGACATATTGAAATGACAAGCTAAGCTATATGATCTTACGTTATACATTCATCTTGTTATCTTCAGTGCATTATTGAAGATCTGAAGAATTCTTATTTGTAAATACAGTAATGTCAATATCAATTAGAAGCTACGACCATATGATGACATTGTTTAGACAGCATGTCAATCTGCTCTGACACAACATGATACAACTTCTATATTCATACAATCAATGCTTCATCAAATCGGCCCTAAAATCTTTAATTTTGCGCAAAACGTGTATTGAATATGCGCAAATGTGTAATGATATCTAGCGTATATAAAACGTATATGATTTGGCAATATACAAAAGTAGATATTACTTTCCTGAGTTATGCGCATCAAAACCCCTTTTATGACCTCTCTCTCTCTCTTTATGACAGAGATTTCAAATCAAAATTGATGTTTCAATTATGTTTATTGAAAAAAACATTCTTTATCTCGCACATTTGCATATATGCACTCCCTGAACACGCAGATATATTTTTTATTTTTTGAAATTTAAATCATTCAAAATATTTATCGAACGTATCATAATTGTTAACATTGTTAAATTGTTTTTTATATAATGTACCGTAGGTGGCTAAATTGTATCTTTTGAATATTTTTTTTTTTGGGGGGGGGAATTGTGTCGCCCAAGGCGCGTCTGTCTAGATCTGTCTACCTGTCTATCCATTGGTCCCGTGTCAGTGTACCAATTTGCTTCCAACATTTCTAAAAAAAATCTTTACAACTCTGGAATTCAGGGTTAGAGAGCGAAGCTGATTCTGAGTTATGAGAACGGTGATTTCGAATCAATAATGATTACATTATAAGTGGGACGAAATGCCAGATTTTATCCTACATAACGAGGTACTAACGGATCTTAGGATGGACATATCAAATGTTTTTTTGATAGATTTTTTATAATTTGCAAAAGTCTCTGGATAGTTCCTATGATTTGGCTTTAGTTTTATTCTGTACGATGTCGATGAAACAAAAGACGGATGGTGAAATATAATGACTAAGCTAATAAAACGTTTTTCTTTTTTGTTTATGATGCCCTGTTATGATATAGGCATACCCCTTATTGTCCTTTAAGGTCTTCTTCATCAAGATCGTGATAAACTGACATGGATGACATGAAGATATTTCACTTTTTGTGATTTTACAGCATGGGGTCTATGGGGAATCTCCCCGACCTAGAAGTCACGTTTCCAAAGAAATTAAATTTTCAAAGTTGATAAACTATTTTCAAAACCAAATTTCTAGATGTAATTTTACTTGTAGATTCTAAATATGACATCAGTTTGACTTATAATTTTGAACATTTAATGACGTAAATCAAGATTATTTCTACTCGCATCTAGTCTGTTAAAACCAGAAGTTTTCTTTTCTAAGAAGGCAGATGGGATATGAGTATCAGGATAATAAGTCTATTCCTGTAATCCTAAATCGAACGTTTTTAACAATGTTAGGAACCACCTAAAGGAACCACCCCTCTTGTGTGCTTTTTATGCTGATATTCATTCTGAAACGTGAATGATTACAAAATATATAGAGTTCTGATTTTCTGAGCCTATGTGGTTTCCAAACTATGATATCAATTGGTCTCACCCAAAATTAACGAATCAACCTCGTAGATAATTAGTTATAAGGTAAATCAAAAGGTATCTATAGTGCACATTTAGTTGAGCTCTTGCGAAGAGTGAATTGCTTTATCTCATAAGTCACACCAATTACACCTGATGCTGAAGGTATACATCACGTTGTAGCTGCAGAAGATTGACTCGAGTTCTTGGTGAGTCAATCTAAGTCATATTTCATACGGATGAAATAAACTATCGTGATACCCAGAAAATATTGTAGACAAAAATTCCTAGTGATACTAGCATGTAAAAAGATTGAGTGATCTTCATTTCGAGTTAGAGTTTCGATATCTCGGTTTGATTCCATGCTCTATACCAGTCTACAGGCGTGTTAAGCTGTATGATCTTATTATTCACACCTCATAGTATGTGGATGAATCTTACAATTGTTTTCCATCCTTCACAAAAAGTGATTCATTATCCTACTGGATGTGAATCGTAACGGATTGATAATACAAAATTTGGACGAAAATCTCCAACGTGTAACCCTTTTCCGGAACGTCTATGACAACGATAATATCCTTGGTCTTTTTGTTAGAAATTAGAATTTTTGGGAGGAAGTGTGCTCGGAAGACTAAAAAACCATTGCCTTAGGATGGGCCCTTTTTGTTTGGGTTATATCAGTACTGATAAGGGACTCGGATTCGAATAATTTTTCCGCATTTTTAGTTTTTATCCCCCCCTCCCCTTTATTTCTCAATTTGTAAATAAGATGCCCCCATTGTGCAATTTGAAATTAAACAAGAAAAAATATATCAATGCGTAATACCAGTCATAAAAACTGATATACCAGATATATCCAGATAATTTCTTTCAAGATGACCCGAGCCAGGAATCTTATGATCATTATTACCACTCGTATATTCTGACAAAATTCGTTTAAGAGCTAGGCTTGTTGCACCATACGCCATCATGAACTGTCTGAATCACAGACACGTTAAATTTATTGCTTCGGCAATCTTGACCTACGTGCAATTTTCTTTCAGGCGTATTCTCAGATTTTTGTGACATATCATGACTAATTTTAGCGTTGAAATAACAAACTAGCCTGGCTTCCATGCCTTTTCTTTTACATTTTAACTTTACGCATAACTTTGTATTTCTATTGATAACAACGTACACACAACCATCTCAACACGCTCGGTCTTCGCAACGTTTATTGGATCTGTGAGATCACAGAAACTATCATTTTTATTGCATTTTCGATCTGTGTCTAATTATTCTTTCAGGCGCTTTCTATTCAGATAATTTGTGACATGTTTTAACGAACTGATAACCCCATGGCCATCTTGCTTCATCAAGCTTCGGACCTATCCTCAGAGAACGTAGTGATTGAGCGTGGGAACAGACGATGTGATAACCCAGCAGTTCCAATTTGTAATTTGATGACATATCGGTTAATATTCTCATGGGTACAAAATAATATTGTTTGTCGGTTCTTGGTCAACTTGTAGATTAGGGAGGATAGGGGGACGTGCACCTTGTTGAAATGAATCCTCAAGATGGCAATGTTAATCTTAACAGAAGACACCCTATGGATGAAAAATCGAATAATTGATTTATTTCACTTGGGCGCACGGGACATTTTCCTACCGATTAAACTATAGTGACTCCGATTAACGTACGATTTTTAGTCATATAAAGATGATATCTTAAGTTTTCAAGTCGTTAATCTCATTTGAGGTCATTATCATTTCAGTGACATACCCTATATCGGTAAGTGACACTAACGCTACAATACTAAATCAAGCATTGCATCATTTCTTAATTCAGAAACGAATACTGGATGCTGAATTCCCTCTTCCATGTTCATCTTGCATGAGGGGAAACTTGCTTCTGTTGAACGGATTAGGTCGGAACCTACGTCACTTACAGACACGTTCGTTTTAAATGTTAAAATAGATTTACTAATGATGAATATACGACAAGCAAAACGACCCATATTTACCCATTGATCATATTCAGCACCTTAATTTGTCTCTAACATGTCGTCATTTTCAAAGTGTAAATCTCAATGGGATAGTTCGCTGTTTAGAATGAATTACACTTATGATTCATTAGGGTCTGTTGCAGGGTTACGCCATTTATAATATTATGACTTAAACATATTTCCTTACAACTTTTCTAAAGCGATTCTTGCAAGACGATTCGAGATGGTTATGTTCTCCAACCTTTTATTCTTAAAACATATGAAGGATTGCTGAACATATTCCAAACCATGTTATAAGTTCAACCACTTCCATAGGTTTGGAAAAGGAAATTCCACACCGGAAAACTTTCCAATCCTATTTATGTTTGAATCATATTATTTTATGTCATCACCATAAGTAGTCACATATTGTTATAGTCTCCAACTTTTTTATGGACGGTGTTGGGCGTTCGGCGATTGGTGTTTGGCGTTCGGAGGTTGGTATTCGGGGTTTGACGTCTGTAACATATGGCAGGTGGTGACATTTTGTATGTTAATGTCTCTTTCCTCAATGACAATTTACGTAGGAAATCGAAAAGAGTTATGGGGTATATCTCTGAATCTACTTATATATTTTCTATGTGTACAAAATATTCCTGATGAATTTAGGGTCGATATTGACTGCCCTTAGTCAAGTATATCTCCCCAGTGCCAGCTTTTGGTGAGATGAAGCTACGATGAACATAGGGACAGTTTTGATCTTATGAGCACCAAAATTGTTACACTAAATTATCTATGTAATACTTAGTCAGAGGAAATGTGATTAACCGTGGAGTATTCACGGTAGCACAATGAGTACGTCTCCATATGAAACTCTGAGTCACACACTTTCTGTTCCATCTTTGAAGCTTCGGGTAACCTGTGCTCTTGTAGGGTGTCTGTTATTGCTGCTTAATTTGATGTATTTTATACCTATGATCCCATTAGTATGTTTTG